AACGCGCGGCTCTACGGCGCCCGCTGTCTCTCGATGCTGTCCTACCTCGCGCAGTTCTTCCCGCCCCCCAAGAAGCTCGCCATGCAGGAGCCCCATGCTCTCCGCAAAATATTGCGACCCCCGCTTTCGACGCTCAAACTCTCGGGCTTCCTCTCCCTGGGCTCCTGGCCCCCAACTGCAGCGGTCAAACCGATGCGCGTTATGGCGGCGGGCTCGATATGGAGACAGGCCAAGTTCAGCATTCCATCGTGGTATGACACTTACGAGAGGATCGAGCAGCAGGCCGCAGAGAGCATAGGGCTGCACGCCTTCGCTGCCAATTATTGAAGCCTGCAGTCCTGGCGCATTCAAGAACCAATCGCTCAACGCTATTTCCAGGCGGTCAACGCCAAGCCGATCGGCGCCCTTGTTCACCCTCATCATGACCTTGAGGTTTGTGTTGGAACTGCTTTGCGCGCGGTTGAGGCGCCGTTGGACGCTGGTCGGCGACAGCGCCCCCAGAGGATCCCCACCCGCACCCTGCAAGCAAGGTGGTACCCCGACAACCTCACCACCAAGAAGAGGCTGACGGCGTGGCTCGGCGCTGAAGTGGCATCCGCAGACCTATTCAAACGGTGGCAGGCGTTGAAGCTGATGCTGCTGAAGATGCCCCTAGCATGGCGGTGGGCCATGGTGCGCACCCTCGCGGGTGGGTGGCGCACGAGCTGCCGCACGCATGTGTTTTCTCGACGGTTCCCGTGCTTCTGGGGCGACCTGGACGCCAAAGACGACATTCACCACTGCATACAGTGCCCGCGGCTCTCTCATTGGGTGGCCCAGCCGCGCCAGCACCTCCATGGCACCGTGCTTGGCGTGCCGGAGAGGCTCGCCGTGGGCCCCGCCGAGAACTACGTCGACGAGGATTCGGAGCGCTCGATGGCCGCAGCCGTTCGCTCCACCATCCTCGCCTGGTACCACATCCTGGAGGCCAAGAGGATGGGCATCTCCAGCGACCACGGCAAGCACATGATTGTGCACATCACCGCCAAGGACAGGCTCATGTGATGACTCTGCGCCGCGCCGCGGCCGCAGGGGGCACTTAACATCGTCATCGATACTATGGTCGCTCCTCCTCCTCCTCCTCCTCCTCCTCCTCCTCTTCCTCCTCCTACTCTTACTCCTATTCCTGCTCCTACTCCTACTCCCCTCATCATCATCATCATCATCATCATCATCATCATCATCATCATCATCATCATCATCATCATCATCATCATCATCATCATCATCATCATCATCATCATCCGAAGGGCAGTACGAGCTAGGAGTTCCTGACCCCTTCAGACGCGGGGATCATCATCATCAGCAGCAGCAGCATCAGCATCAGCATCATCATCGTCAACAACATCATCAGCATCACCCATCATCATCATTATCATCATTTTCATCATCATCAGCATCATCATCATCATCATCAGCAGCAGCATCATCATCATCCTCGCGGCTCTCTTCGCGCAGCTGCGCAGGGAAGCCCTCCGCCAGGAACGCCGCGGCCGCCAGCCGCCTCCTGGCCCGCCGAACTGCCGCCGTGGCTCACGTGGAGGCCGTGGCCTCTGCGGCAACCGGCGCGCCGCCCTGCGGTGGAACCCCCTGCTTGCGGGGACGGCCTGCGAGAGAGGCAGCGCACTGACATGGCCTGCCGGCACCGCGACGCCGAAGGCGTGCTCCGCGCGGGGCCAGGACAAGGGCAAATCGTTCCAAAGCTTTCCAGAGCGCTCTGAGGCGGTCCCAGTGCGCTCTGGAACGGCCACGGCGCCCGATACATCCTCCAGACCCGCCGGATCTCAGCGATCCCCGATTCAATCCAGTCCCATTCTGCCCCTGTCCTGACATCCTTTTGGTACTGAACCACGACGACGACCGTGCTCGACGTGCACGACGCATCGCAGCACCCGTTCTCGGCCGTCCTGTTCGGAGCCGTCCTGCTAGCACCGGTCGTGCAGCCCCGCGGCCAGTTGCCGTTGGGGGGCCCGGGGCCGCTGTGTGGTGATCTTACGAGAGAGCAACCCTGACATGTTTCTGTTACGAGAAAATCGCGATTCGAGGTTGTTGTTAGTTGTCTGCTTCCGGGGGCCCTCGCTGGCCGCAGAGCCATCAAGAAACAATTCTGGATGAAAAGCGCCGTCGCTGCTCCTCCTCCTCCCTCCTCCTCCTCCTCCTCCTCCTCCTCCTCCTCCTCCTCCTCCTCCCTCCTCCTCCTCCTCCTCCCTCCTCCTCCTCCTCCTCCTCCTCCGACTCGGGAGGAAGCCCAGACCTCAGGGGATGCACGCCGTGAAGAAGCGCGACGTCGGATGTCCTGGAGCGCGTACGGCTGTGCGCCCGACTCGACTTCGCCAAGTACGGAGTCCGGTCACGCCCGACAGCCATTTCGGCAGGGGCGGCAACGCTTTGCAGGCCCGTACTTCAAGATGACAAGTCGGGTCCAGATGACTCTTCTTCCTCATCGTCCCCCTTCCCAATCCTACTTCTTCTTCTTATTATTATTCTTCTTCTTCTTCTTTTTCTTCTTCCTCATCGCCCCCCTTCCAATGACTCTTCTTCCTCATCGTCCCCCTTCCCAGTCCTACTTTCGTGGGTGTCCCCGGCCCAGCCTGCTTCTCCCGAGGGAGCGGGGCGCGAGGGACAGCGAGGGGGCACCCGTGGGAATCTCGCTGCACGTGTCCTCGGGCGCCGCCGAGAGAAGTGTTTCCCGAAGTTGGTTCACTTCCTGGAAAGGTATGCTTCCATTTCGAGAAACTGTTTTGCTATACATATATATATACATATACATATATATATATATATATATAGTTCGCGTCTTCTTGTCGGGAGATGTGTTCCATTGTGTGGGAAGTACGGTTCAATCGCTATGGCGCAGGCGGCTAGTTTCAGTTGTTGGGGCAACGGTCGTGATGTTTGGAGGCGGAAGGCTTGTTCCAATTGTTTAAACGACTAGTTATCCAATTGTTTTCGGTGCCGCTTGGAGGCACCCAGAGGGTCAATTTGTTCTGCGCATGTTTACGCTGCGTTCCCCCGGGGAGGGAGGTTGGAGAGGGGGGCCAGAGAGGAGGGGGGATAGAGAGGAGAAGGAGAATTAGAGCAGGCCCAAGATGCATCAAGGATGTCGCAGTATTTTCTCCCGTTCCAGGGGCCCGCAATCCAGGCGAAAGCGCAGTTTTGAAAGAAATTGCCCTCCCTCCTTTTTCGAGCCATAAAGGAATGCGACCAGGTGGGGTCAGAAAGATCAAGTAACTACCAACTGTCATTCCCTCTTCGACAGGGAAACACCCTCCGCCCGTGCAACGTTTGCACAATGTGATATTTCTGGCAACGCAACATACATACGCATTCTAACCAAAATCCATGTTTTAGGGATCGATATTGGCCAGTGCAACTGCTGCATAAGAGACTGAGTGTGGTACTAAGTGTTAGTGACGTATCATACGCGAGACCCATGTCGAAAAGGAATCGCCTTCCATCCGTGTAAGTGTCGGATCGCTTTCCAGGCGATCGTGCGCGGCGCCAAGACGAGAGCTCCATTTTGACATTCACTCGCCCTCCATCCGTGTAACTGCTGCGCTGTTTCCCAACCATCCTGTGTGTTGGGTCCTCGCTTTGATTCCGCAGCGCACCGCGCCCCTCCTTCCTCCGCCTCCCTCGTCTCCTCATCCTCTTCATCGGCATCATTCTCATTATCATGGTCAGGCGCCCGTTTCGTCACCCTCACACGCTTTCGCCCCACTGAGGACCCCAGTGGCGATGTTCGCATGCTGCCGCGCCCTTTTCGGCACACCTCTCACAATCTTCGTGGCCACGCAGGGAGCTCCACAGAAGGCTCTAGCAGCGGTGTTCGCATACTGCCGCGCGCATCTCGGCGCCCCTTCCTTTTGTTGGCCCCGTAGGGAGATGAACCGAAGGCCCCAGTGGCGGCGTTCGCGTGCTGCCGCGCCCACTTCGGCACACCATTCACACGCCTCGTTGCCCCAAAGGGAGCTCCAACGAAGGCCCCAGTGGCGATACTCACACGCTACTGTGCCCATGTCGGCACGCTCCTCACAAGCTTCGTGACCCCATAGGGCGCTCCACCGAAGGCCCCAGTGGCGGTGTTCGCTCGCTGCCGCATCCATCTCGGCACACCCCTCACACGCTTCGTGGCCCCAGAGGAAGCTCCACCGAAGGCTCCGGTGGCGGTGTGCCACGCCCATTTCGGCATATGCCTCACACTTTTCGTGGCCCCATAGGGAGCTCTACTGAAGACCTCAGTGACGGTCTTCGCATGTTGCCGCGGCCGGTTCGGCACACACCCCACACGCTTCGTGGCCCCATAGGGAGCTTTACCGAAGACCCCAGTGGCGGTGCTCGCATGCTGCCGCGCCCGTTTTGGTACACCCCTCACCCCTCATTCCTGACCCCCCTGCTAATGTTCGTCCTCGTCCTTCTCATCCACGCCCCCTGTCCTCTTGCTCGCCTCCCTTCCCCCCCCTCACCATTGTCTTGCGCTACTCGCAGCTGCTTATGGCTGGGTTGGGTGATTCGCCTGGAAAATCAAAACCAGTGTGCACGGCACCAAGGCGAGAGCCCCATTTAGAAACCTCCATCCGTGTAATTGATGGACTATTTCACGACGAGTGCGCGCGGCGCCATCAGGAGAGCCTAACGTTGCAAGACATTCGCCCTCCACCCGTGTTACTGTTGGACATGTTTGAGACGAGAGTGCGCGGCACCAACGTGAGAGTCCCCTTCTGAAAACGACCCCTCTCAATCCGTGGAATTGATGGACGTCTGACGCTTCAAGATCGCACGTGGTCATCAAGTCTCAAGCCAAGCGCCTGGCTCGCCGTGGCTGCACGACTGCCGATGTGGCAGGGAGGAGTTGTGGTATAGGAAGGGGGATTGACGAGGTGGGGACAGGGGACGGACGAGGAGACTGAGGGGTAAGGAGGAGCAGAGGGTGGGAGGAGGAGAGCCCCCCGGGCCCCCAGATCATGGGCCTGGCAGACGCCGACTGCGACGGCGCCCTCTCCTTCCCGGAGTTCGTCGCCGCCATGCACCTCGTCCGGCTGGCTCGCGAGGGCGCGTCGCCGCCGCCCACGGGGCGAGGGCTGCCGCGGGAGACGTCGGGGTGGTTCGGTTGGCGCTGCTTCTTCGTCGTCGACGCTTCCTGTTCCGTTCATTCGCTGCCACCTCCTTTCTCCGCCCCTTTCTCATCGTCTTCGCTGTATTCCCCTCCCTCCTCGTCGTCGTGCTGTTGTTGCTTCCGTCAGTTCTCCTTCTCCGCCTCTTCCTCCTCTTACTCATTTCACTGGTTTCCAATGTTGTTCCAGGTATTCACCTCTCCTCATCCTGATCGAGCCTTCCTTCCTCTTCATCGCGTTATTCACGACTTCCTTCATGTTCCTGTTCCTCATCATCATCCCCCTGCACATCCTATGTTATTCCTTCATCCTGCGTTGACTCGTTCATTATTTACCATGCCTTCACAAGCCCTCATCCTGCTCCTGCTCCTGCGTATCATCAGCATCAGCATCATCATCATGATCATTAGCAGCAGCATCATCAGCATCACCACCATCATCGTTATCACCATCATCATCACCATCAGTAGCAGCCTCCCTGTCATCATCCCCCTCCCCCATCCTTTTCTCCTCCACAGTCCTTGCTCTGATCCTCAGCCGTATCTCCTCCGATTATCCCTCTTCCCTTCTCCCCTTCACAAACTATCCTCCTCATCATGTTCCTGTCGACTTTCCTTTGGGCCTTCCTCATCCTGTCGACCTTCCTCATCCTCCTCCGCCCTCCTCCTCCTCCTCCTCCTCCTCCTCCTCCTCCTCCTCCTCCTCCTCCTCCTCCTCCTCCTCCTCCTCCTCCTCCTCCTCCTCCTCCTCCCTCGTCCTGTCGACCTTCCTCATCCTTCTTTTCCATACCTCTGCCGTCCTCCTGGCAGAGGGGGCTCCTGCTGCAGGGGTACGGTCACGACCTCGTCTGGTGTGGTTGTTCCTCCATGTCGAAAGAGCAGTATCTGCTCCTATTGTTTACGCTGCGGGGGGCGGGCCCATCCTCCTCGCCATCCCCGTCCATTTCCATAGTGTTCCTCCTCTTCCTCAATTCCTCGATCCCTCCTTCCCTACAGTCCTTGCTCCTGTTCCTCCCTAGCTTCCTGCCCCCCTCCTTCTTCTCCTTCTCCTTCTCACCATCATTCGAATCTGAGCCAGAGACAAAGAGAGAGTGCCAGAGAAAACGAAACGTCGTTTGCGGAGCGCTGCGCGCGCACTCGCAGAAGTAGCCGATAGGGAGGTTGAGGTCGCGAGTAACTCCAAAGACAACGCTGGCGCTGATTGAAAGCGGCTGGGAAAGTTGGAGTTGAGCAGGCACGTGTAGCGGGAGCGTGGCTTGCACAGGGGGCGCAACAGGGTCGCGCTTCGGGCGTGTGCGCGCGGCAGGGTAGGGGGCAAGGACACCACGGTCGGGGCCGCCGCCCACGGTGTCGCTGGGCTCGACGCGTGACGACGTGTTGGGCGCCGCCGCAAACCAACGTCAGAGAATTCCCGAACCCGCAACCGGGGCGCGCCGAATGTCGCTGGCCAGGCCCCCGGAGACCAGGACACAGACTAACCGGGACATTAGCAAGTCGGGGAAGCGACACCCTTTCCTGCAAAAGTCAGGTTGGGTCGTCCAGTGCCGTGTTTTTCCGCTGCGCTGCAGGTTTCGGGTCGTTGTCTGCGTCCATCGGGGGGTGCGCGGGCTTTTAGGTCCTTTGTCTGGGTTTATTCCGGGAGTGTTGCAGTGCAGTTCTTTTCATGCCACATGCTGGGAAGAATTGTTTCGAGGGATGGTGTATGGTGTATGTCTTGGTCTAGCGTGTCCGGGTTTACGGGGCCCTGAGTTGGCCTCTTGTTTCTCGGGCAGGTTCGCCCAGCCCTGGGAACGTATGTTTTGTGAGTGTTTCGGGCGCGGCTGCTGTTCCACAGGGTCCCAAAAAGGTTCGGGCAGGCTCGAGCCAAAAAATTTGGCGCGCCCCAGTTTCTGGTTCTGGGCGCTTTGCAAGTCGGCATTCCGGTGGTCCCAGACTTCCCGACGTCATATTTTCAGCCAGAGGCGAGCGATCGGTTGGCGCCGCGCCCAATGCTCTCGGAGTTGCGAACTAGATTCCCAAGGCCCGCGGGCCAGTCGCGGGACGGCCAAAGCCCCCAGGTGTACCCCAAGCGGCGCGCCCATGCGCACAAGTGGCCGCAAGTGGCCACGTATGTATCGGGGTTGCATCACCAGCATGGCGCGGCTCTTGCTTCGCGAAGCCGATGGCGCCCCAAGGCGTGGCAAGCCTTTCCGGCAACGGCCGCTGTGATTCGACAAATCCAGCACGATGTTTCCCTGGTCTGATTCTGCACACGTCTCAGCTTCGCCTTACACTAAACATTGGAAGGTGAGCTCCAGGCGCTCAAGATCAGACCCACGAGTATGGTTTTGGCAACACGAGGAGCTCCAAACGCTCGAGCGTTGGATTCAGGTGAATATAATCAGGGCAGGGAATATAGCTTTGTTAAAACGAACAGGCTTCCTCGTGTAAGCGTTGCACCAGGATGATTAAACTCAGGCCGAGGAGTTATGTTCTGGCAACACGACGAGGCGCTCACTTGTATGTGCTGCGCCCAGATGGCCCAAATCAGGCCCGGGAGCAGAGTTCTGGCAAGATGATGTTCCGACGGGCTGTACATATTGTATCTAGATGATCAAAACTAAGCTTGGGAATTGAGTTCTAGCAGCACCAGGACTCTGGCCTCACCCATTGGCATGGCCCCAGCCCTAAGCAGATTGCAAGAATTATTCCCCAATCAGAGCTTGCCTCTGTAGGGGTCCTAGCGGATTCACATGGTTAGGTGAGGCTGGGCGCCGATTTCGGCGGCACGCCCGGGTCCCCGGGTCCCCTGGTGCCCAGGTGAGGTTCGTCGCCGATTTCCGCGGTGCCCAGGTCCCAAGGTGCCCGGGTGCCTTACAGCCCTATTGCCCTATAGCCCTATAGCAGCATGGCCCTATAGCCCTATAGCCCCATAATCTTATACCCCCATAGCCGTATATCCCAATCGCCCTATAACCCTATGGCTCTATAGCCCTATAGCCTTATAGACCTATAGCCCTATAGCCCTATAGCCCTATAGCCAGCCCGATTGTACTATAGCTCAATATGCCTGTAGCCCTACAGCCCTATGGTCCTATAGCCCTATCACCCCATAGCCCCATAGCCGTCTAGCCTTAAAAAAAGATTATGATTGGAGCTTTTCTCCGGTATCATCTAGGGCAAGCGCAGCCAAGCAACTGTAGCCCGCAGAATGGTCCTGGCCCGAATTTCGAAAAAAAACAGCCCCGCCGTGGCGGCGAGTCGTCTCCCCGAGGCCCACGGAAGGAATCCCAGCCGTGGCGACGAAGCGCCCCCCGTTCTCCTCCGTCCCAGATCCCCGACGGCGCGGTGTTTGTTGCGGCGCCGACCCGTGGCCCCTGGAGGGCTCGACCCCTTCCCCGGGACCCGGTCGGAGTCCCGAGCCGTTCCTGGAGAGCCCCGGGGCCCAGGGCCCCCAGAGGCCAGACATGACAGACCTCCACAAGACAAGACACGAGCAGCGAAGCAAGAGCGACGTGGTTTCTGACGACGCGAGGGCGCTCGGATTCGGTCCCTCCACGCGCCGCCAATCCTTCCGCACAGTTCACATAGTATGAGACTTGAGCAGCCCCTGGCAGTGTGGTTTTGCGCGAGTTGCGGCTGTCTCGGAGATCGGCAATTGCTAGGTGGGCAGTTGTGTGATGGCCATGTGATCCCCCACCGTCGAGTATGTTTCAACATGTCGGGAGCGAGCCAGTGGCCCAAGCTTCTTAGCAAGGCTGAGCAGCAGAGCTGTGGCCGGCAGTCTGTCTTCAACGACTTGGTCGGCTAGCTCGGCACTTGCTGGCGGAGGAGGAGGGGAAGGAGGAGGAGGGGAAGGAGGAGGAGGAGGGAGGGAGGAGGAGGAGGAGGATGCGGAGGAGGAGGATAGCTCGATGCTCGTTACCCCTCCCGGGCGGGCTCCTCCAGGAGCTGGCCGACTTCGTCCGCGCGCTGCCCCGCAGCCCGGCGCGCATGGCCCTCGAGGGCAGCTCGCGCTCGGCAAGCCGCGCCCGCTCGAGGACCGCTTCGGCGGGCACCACCGTCGGCGGCGCCAACGGCTGCGGCGCTGTCGGCGACCTTTAGGTGCTCGTTTCTTGGCATGGCTCGGACGTGTGCATTTTTCCTTCGGCGAGGACCATCGAGGAGCATCCGTGATGATTTGGCGAAAAAACCACGCACGAAACCGAAAAAAACACAGGGAATGGACGTCCGAGCGATGGCGAGGTTTGGGGGACCTTCATGGGGCCCACCTGACAGATCTGTTCGACTCTAGCTCGACCCCAGTTCGACTCGAGCTCGACTCGGCTTCGACTCAGGTTCGGCTCGAGGCCGGCTCGAATCGACGGGCGTTCGACGCAGCTTCGACACACGAGTGGAGCGAGTGGCTCCAGGAAGGTCCCCAGATTGAGCAGCCAGCGACCTGGCGCCAGCGCCTCCGCCGACCACAACGGTGACGCTGACGTCGATTCTCGGCGGGCTTCGGGCGAGGCACTCGGCGCGAGGGCGTCGGCGTGAGGGCGACGTCTTCTCCGGCGTCTTCGCGGCGGCTCCCGGAGGCCTCCGGGCGGGTTTCGAGCGTGGTTTCGAGGAGCCGCGATGTTTTTCGTTCCCCTCCCTCCCTCCCTCCTCTTTCCTCCCTCCCTCCCTCCCTCCCTCCCTCCCTCCCTCCCTCCTCTTTCCTCCATCCCTCCCCCACGCGCAGCGTTCCAGCACAATGAGGCGACCGCGCGCCGTCGGGAAAAAAAACGCTGAAGGTTTCGGCGGGGATCGCCCGAAGCAAAACAGCTGTTCTAGGGGAACGAAGGATGGCATAAACATACAACTCGGAGGTCCGCGCGGATCTCTCGGATCGGCGCTTGGGCCCCCTGGCGGCGCCTCCGCCGCCCATGGCGCGCTCTCCGCGCGCCAGGTGGTGGTGGTGGTGGTGGCTTGGGTAAGCAGTCTGGTGAGGCCGCGGGCACTGCCTCTTTAGCGGCACCTCCCACTCAGGGATGGCTGGGGGGGCAGCTCACCACCTGTCGCGGGGGTCTAGTACCGCAACGCCACGGCGCCACTTGGTCCGAGAGACTCCCTGGGGCACCTCCCCTGGGGCACCCTCCCCGCCCCACCTCAACCACAGGAAGGCCCAGCAATACCAGCCCCCAAATACCTGGGAGCGGGATATCCCAGAATAGGAGGGCGCTACTGCTGGGGTCCCGACCCAGGACGAAGGGGACAGGGGGATCCATCCAGGGCAGCCCTGGAGGCCACCCGTGCCGGGCGGAACCTGTGCCGCAGAGTGGGGATGGACAGCGCGAGAGCTCCCGCTCACCTCCGCTGGGGCCTCGCCCGTCCTAGCACATCCCGGATGCCACCGCAGGGCGCAGCTGCGAGGCGATGAGAGATGACTGGAAGAGGCCCTCCCCGAGTGGGTACCCCCCGCCACCACCCCGGCTCGGCATCGGGACGCGGCCCGGCCTGCGGGGAGAGACAGGGGGGGAGAAAGAGCCCCCTCGCCCACCCCGAACTCGCTCCTCTTTCATCCCTCCCGCCCACGTCCTTCCTCCTGCTCGTTCGATCAGTGTACTGGCAGCCGTTTTGCCCTCGCGCCCGTTTATTTGGGAGCTCGCCTTCGTGCCAGCGGGGGTGTTGGCTTGTCTTGGCTCCTCCGTCCTTTTTGTTGGGGGTGCCTCGGAAATCTCTGGCAGTTTTTTCGGAGGCCTCTGGGAGGCTTCTCGGGATGCCCTCGGCGGCTTTGGGATGTCCCGCGGAGGACTTTTTGCAGGTGGATCGCCAAAAGTCTTGGTGGCAGCAAGACTTCCTTCGTGAGGATTGTGTGGGGGGCGGTTGTTGGACGTTGGTGCTTGCTCTCCTTAATCTGTGAGGTTATATAGATATATACATATAGATATAGACACATCTCTGTGTATACATATATATATATATATATGTGTGTGTATGTATCTGCCCCTCTCTGGAAATATGAATGTACACATGTATGTACCCCTCGATCTATGTATGCATATACAAGCATGTACCTAAACATTGAGGCATATCCACCCTCCCTCTCTCCCTCATCCTCTCTCTCTCTCTCCCTCTCTTTCTCTCTCTCTCTCTCTCTCTTTCTCTCTCTCTGTCTCTCTCTCCCTCTCTCTCTCTCTGTCTCTCTATATATATGTGTATATACATAGATGTGTGTGTGTGTCTCTGTCTTCCTGTCTCTCTCTCTCTCTCTCTCTGCCTCTATGTATGTATGTCTCTCTCTGCGTGTATAGATACATGTATGTGAATATACATACATCTGCATGGTTTAAACTACGTGTTGCATAGATGTATGCCATGGATCCTCTCTATTTCTCTCTCTCTCTCTCTCTCTCTATATGTATGTATATATATATGTATATATATATGTATATATATATATACATATATGTATGTATATATGTATGTATGCATGCATACATGTGTATATATATATATATATATATATATATATATATGTATCCCTCGCTCTGGGAATATTGAGCACCCGCGGGGTAAAAAGTGGCAGCGCGCGCGGCCTCCGGAGGCCACTCCGTCAACTGCCCTATGTGTGTTGATACGTTTCCGAACCTGTATGACACTGCTCGGCACGAGGGCCAGCGTAACAGACTTGATCCGAGAAAAATCGGCCGCCCAGCCCAAGCGCCGATTCAGCAGCTCATCCGCGCCCAGGGCCGTGTGCAAGATAGTCGTGGCCACTCCACGAGGCAACTGGATCCCTGGCAACTGGATCCCTTTCAGGCAAAGAATAGATCCGCGCGCCCGAAGCCACCATCCTTGGTAAAACACTTGAGCTGGGTCCCAAGCTTCCAAGGCAACGTGTGCAGGCAATGAAGGGACACAAGGATTGAAGCGGCCCAAAATTGCTTCAAGGCGGCCCAAGATGCCTCCACGTGGCGCCCCGGGCGAGCGGCCCAGGCGCGCTACCTGGGGCGCACGGTTCCCCAGAACGGGCACTCACGACTTAGGCTGGCGGGTCGCCGACAGAACTGCGCGGCACTCTCCGCGGGATTACGCGCCTGCTTTGCACGGCATGTTCTGCACTGTGCCCTCTCCCTTGCGCCCTGCAGGGTGACCTCCCTTGCCTCGGCGTGCATGCTTCACCTTCCTCCCGCTGCCCCGGCGACGACGCCGACGTCGACAGCCTCGTTGCAGCCACCTGGGGCTCGAGGGCCGGCTACGGGCCAGGTCTGCCCCCCGCTCGCTGGCGACGACGATTCGGCGAGGCAGAGGTTTTTGCCTGGAGGGATGGGGCCCCGAGGACAGGCGACGGATCCCAAGCTGGACCGTCACTGCTTGAGGCAGCTCGTCCTCAGTCGAATAAAAGAAAACGGTTTACGTAGATAGAACTGTTCGGAGGTCCGCGCGGACTTCTCGGATCGGCGCTGGTCCCCCTTGGCGGCGCCTCTGGCGCCGCCCCTGGCGCGCGGAGCGCGCGCCGAGGAGGGGGGGGGGTCCAGCGCAGGTCCCAGAAACCCGCGGAGAGTTCCGAAGGGTCAGGCTTGTGCGGTTATCTCTTCTCTTCCTCCTTGTTTGAGGCCACAGAAATCCGCGGAGAGTTCTGAATCAGGCTTATGCAGTTGTTTCTCTTCCTCCCTGCTTGCGGCGACTCCGCCCGCTGCTCAGCCTCTCGTGGCACACCGTCCTCGGTGCCCGAGGCCGCTCGCGCACCGCTCACCCATCGGCTCTCGGCGGCCGGGTCCTCCCCGCTTTCCTCCTTCCGCGGCCGCCCTCCTCTCTTCCGCCCACTCCCGCGCCTCGCACCCGGCGCGCCCCGCCGGAGACGACACCCGCGCTCGCGGCCGCCGGCACTGGCGATCAACGCCAGAAGCAGAAACTTGTGGCGCTCCGCGCGGATTTCTGGGATCCGCGCTGGGCCCCCCTGGCGGCACCTCCGGCGCCGCCCCTGGCGCGCTCCGCGCGCCAGGGAGGGGGGTCCAGCGCAGATCCAAGAAATCCGCTGGCAGCGCCAAAAGTTTATGTCTATAGCGTTTTTCCCCCAATCGGTGCTTGCACTGAAGGGGTTCAAGCGGAAGTTGAAAGATTTGACGAAAGTTTCGCGCCGATTTTGGTAGAAGGATGGGTTCCCCGGATCCCGGTTCCAGGTTCCTGGGTTCCCGGTTATTGGTTCCGGGCCGATTTCGGTGGGTTCCCGGACTCCCGGATTCCTGGTCGATCTCTTCAGCGAAAACCATCCGCTGATTGAGGCTTTTCTCTGGTGTACTCTTTTGCTGAGGCAGCTCGTCATGGGGGCCCCACCCTTCAGGGCCCGACCCCTGCGCCGCCGAGGCCCGGAGTCGTCCCGCGGGGAGGCGGCACCCCTCCAGGCGCGGGCAGGCGGGGCGGCGGACAGGGCGGGGGGGGGGGGGGCAGCCCACGGGCAGCCTTAAGCCGGGCGTGTCCCTGTACAGTCGGAGGTTGATACACCTCCTACCTTGACACGTCGATTAGCGAATTTGCCGTTTTCGGTTCGGAGGGCGTCGCGGCCGTAATTTTTGCGGGTCCAGGTCCGTCGGTTTCGGTCCCAGGCCTTTTTTACTGAAGGGTGGTTTACTAACGGGAGGCTTGTCCACCGCCGATACAGAAGGAATATGCAAAGATAATCAGCAAAATAGTCGGGAGACGATTTTTTGCGCATGGTTGGAGTATGTTTCTGCTATGCTTGATTTGTCATTCAAAGCCCGCCTGTAGGGGGACATGCCCGACGTTCAGTGGGGCGTAGGCTGGAGCGCCTTCACCGTTCGCGCAAATAGTTGAAACCGCTGACATAGTTCGAGCCACCGAGGAACAGCAGACATGCGAACTGACATTGTCGCAACCGTGACTGGCATGTGCACAAGTATAGTGCAATCGACTTGAATAGCTTCAAACGTTAGGACGATGGCAGAGCACACAATTACGCTACCGAGGAACCCCACATACTTATGTTATGGCTGGAGTGATGATAGCTGTAATGAAGCATGTGAGAGTGATGTTGGTGGCCGTTCCCTGCGCGCCCCCTCTGGTGTCGCCTGCTGCGCCGTGCGAACCTGCAACGGATAGAGACCGCACCCCCAGCGAACCCCCTCTGTTATCGAGACTTTGCCACGCCTGCCGCGCCCTGCACGCCTGAAACGCCTAGAGGCCACACCTCCTGCGCACACCCTCTGGCGTCGAGAATGTGCTACACCCGCCGTGCCTGACGCGCCGGCAGCGCATAGAGACCGCACCCTGTGCACCCTCTCTGGCGTCGAGAATTCCAACGCCTGCCGTGCGCTGCGCGCCTGCAACGCATAGAGACCAAACCCCCTGCGCACCCTCTCGGTGTCGAGAAAGTGCCCCCGCGTGCCCTGCCTGCCCCCCCGCGGCACTCCGCCCCACAGCCCCCGTCTGGTTATTCCGACCGACCGACCGACCGTGCCCAACCCCTTGCCGGACCGTGCCCTTCAGTTCCACTGCCCCCCCCCCCCCCCGCGCCCCTCCGCCCCGTGGCCCCTGGCCTGCTTATTCCGACCGACCGACCGACCGTGCCCACCCCCTCCGCCCCGTGACCCCCGGCCTGCTAATTCCGACCGACCGGCCGACCGACCGTGCCGCCCCCCTGGCCGTGCCCTCCCGCCCCCCCTTCCCCCCATCCGCGCCCCTCCCTCCGCCCCGTGGCCCCCGTCTGCTAATTCCGCCCGACCGACCGTGCCCCCCCCTCCGCCCCGTGGCCCCCGTCTGCCTCTTCCGACCGACCGACCGACGTGCCCCCTTCCTCCGCCCCGTGGCCCCCGTCTGCCTCTTCCGGCCGACCGACCGACCGCGCCCCCCCCTGCCCGACCGTGCTTTCTCGCTCGCTTGCCCTCTCCCGCGCCCCTCCGCCCCGTGGCCCCCGTCTGCTCATTCCGACCGACCGACCGACCGCGCCCCCTCCCTGCCCAGCCGTGCCCTCCCGCCGCCTCGGCCCCCCCCCATTCCGCCCCGCGGCCCCCGCCTGTTTATTCCGACCGACCGGCCGACCGCGCCCCCCCCTTCCGCCCCGCGGCCCACCCCTGCTCACTCCGACCGACTGACCGACCGCGCCCCCCCCTCAGCCCCGTGGCCCCCGGCCTGCTTATTCCGAGCGACCGACCGACCGCGCCCTTTCCTTGCCCGGCCGTGCCTTCCCGCCCCCCTGATCCCCACCGCGGCCCTCCGCCCCGTGGCCCCCGTCTGCTAATTCCGACCGACCGACCGACCACGCCCCGCGGCCCCCGTCTCCTTATTCCGACCGACCGACCGTGCACCCCCCCCTCCTCCCCGTGGCCCCCGCCTTTTTATCCCTACCGACCGACCGCGCCGCCCCCCTTGCCCGGCCGTGCCCTCCCGCCCCCTCTGCCCCCACCCGCGCCTTCCGTGGCCCCCGTCTGCTTATTCCGACCGACCGACCGTGCCCCCCCTTTTGTGCCCCGCGGCGCCCGTCTGCGCATTCCTACCGACCTACCGATCGTGCCCCCCCGTCCGCCCCGCGGCCCCCGTGTACTTATTCCGACCGACCGACCGACCGACTGTGCCCCCCCTTCGTTTTGTGGCCCCCGTCTGCCTAGACCGACCGACCGACCGTACCCCCCTCCCTCTGTGGCCCCAGTCTGTTTTTCCGACCGACCGACCGACCGACCGACCGTGCCTCCCCTTCTCCGATTTTTGGCCCCCGCCGACCGACCGCGCCCCCCCCCGCTCCCCAGCCACCCCCTTGTCCCGTCCCTTCCGCCCCGTGGCCCCCCCGTCTGCTTATTCCGACCGACCGACCGTGCCCCCCCCTTCCCGACCGTGCCCTCCCGCCCCCTCTGTTCTTCCCGCGCCCCTCCGCCCCGTGGCCCCCCCGTCTGCGTCTTCCGACCGACCGACCGACCGTGCCTCCCCTTCCGCCGGGTGGCCGCTTCCGACCGACCGTGACCCCCCTCCCCGCTCCCCGGCCGCCCCCTTGCCCCGCCTTTTCCGCCCCGTGGCCCCCCCGCCTGCTTCTTCCGACCGACCGACCGTGCCCCCCCCCGCCCCGGCCGCGCCCCCGGCCCCCCCTCAGCCCCCACGATGGGCCAACAGCCCAACAGAGCCCCAGACGGGCCCACACAAGACCCCGAATAAGCCCAGCCACTAGTTCACAGTGGCGTAACAAGTTCTTCACGCCAGAGTTCAGCGAGTCGCAGCACTCGCGCGCTTCACCGAAACTACAACAGGTTGGCGCCACCTCCACCTCCCAGTGTCCCACATCAGTGATTGCATGATCCTCGGCACGCGTGCTTCTTGTATTCTACCAGAGCTCCACAAAGCCAAACCATGTATTTGTTTGACCGTTACTGGTACCTTGGGAGATGGTGCGCACATAGCAGTATATTCCGAACAGTTCAGAACGCGCGGAACCTTCGGACCATGGTGTTCCGTAGCCCCTTCTGAGGATAGGTGTGCGACGGCCAGCACTCGTTCGACGACGTCGACCGGCGCTGGCTCGAATGGGCAGTCATGTCCATGCTGGCGTTCGGGAGATCGTGCTGGATCTCTGCGTCCGGAAGCACCTCCGAGCGAGTCCTCCGTTTCCTCCAGCCCTGGGTCTGCCGCTTTCTCGTAGTCTTTTCCTGCAACGCGCGCTCGTTTGACTGGGGCGGGAAGCCCATCCACCTCTTGAAGTAATCACAACATGTAGTCGACACCTTATGCGTCTGCGCGATCCAATACATTGTCGGCCCGAGGACACGTCCGAAGCGCAGGCGTCTGCCCCCTTGCTGTAGGACGCCGAGGGAGGGGGCCGTCGGCGCGTCGACGCGAAGAACTGTAAAGGTCGCGCCAGGATGCGGCACCAGCAGTGCCGAAACGGAAGTAAGCAGGAAGCCAAATTGTTTCGCTGACCTTCCAAGAATTCAAGAATCCATTCAACTGAATGCCGAGTAACTGCCGCAGATCCAGAGAAGAAAAATACGGCGCCCGAGAAGAAAAATACGGCGAAACTCAGATGCCACGGCTGGACTATCTGCACTAATTTGAGGAGACGTCTGAGTAGAACAACAGTGACAAAATAAACTACCCGGGAACGTACCCAACCCTCCTCACGCATGTGGCGAGTACACATCGGATCGTTCAAGACAAAAGCAATGATTGAATGATCGGCAATGCCCTTGAACGCTTCGCCAAAGAACGTCGGGCCAGAGTCAGATGTTTCACATATGCGGCGTCACTCTTAAGAGTCAGGTCGCTGACAGGAGAGCGACCGCGAGGGGCGTGGAAACATGTGGAGGAGGGACGAGTGGAGACAGTCGTGGGAGTAGCAGCGCCTTGCGCTGCGTTCGCATTGCAGGACAGCGCTCTGCCGCTCTGCGCGCTATGACAGTACACCGCCTTGCGCTAAACGTAGCATGTGCCTGCCTGCATTACAAGCAACAAGCAGCTGAAGAAGGGATACGGCAGGGGCAAAGGACAGCGCTATTCGCGGCGCGGTGCTCGCACGCCGCGTCACTCCGCTGGCCCTCCCAGAAGCCCATCGACGGCGAGGTCTCGCGGCGATCCGCGTAGGACGCACCTCCGCTGGGCCTCCCAGAGGCCCACAAAAGTGGCGACAGTCTTGCAGATCGCAGCCCCCCAGGGCGCGGCGAGGTCTCGCGGTGACCCGCGTAGGACGCACCTCCGCTTGGCTTCCCAGAAGACCACGAAAATGGCGACAATTTTGCAGATCGTAGCCCCCCCAGGGGACGGCGAGGTCTCGTGGTGATCCGCGTAGGACGTAGCTCCGCTGGGCCTCCCAAAAGCCAGCGAAAGTGGCGACAGTTTCGCAGATCGCAGCCCCCCAGGGCGCAGCGAGGTGTCGTGGTGATCATGACGTACCCCTGCTGGCCCTCCTGGAGCCCACGAAATGGGCGACGGTTTCGCAGACCGTAAGCTCCCCAGCGGACGGCGAGGTCTCGTGGTGGGCTTGGCTCCCCCCCCCCCCCGAGGCTTTTTTTGTTTCCCCCCGGGGGAGAGTTCCGGGAGGGTCTGGGCGGCTTTTTCCCCCACCCCAGGGGGGAGGCGGAGGGGGGGCGGGGGCCTCGATTCCCCCTCGAGGTTTTTTCCCCCCCCCCCGAGGGGGGGTGCGGGGGAAAGGGCCGGGGGCCCCGAGGCTTTTATTTTTGTCCCTCGGATGTTCCTCCCCCCCTCAAAATTTGTTGTTTCCCCCCCGGGGGCCTCGAGGCTTTATATTTTTTCCCTCGGAGGCTTTCTCCCCCTCCCCCCTCGAGGCTTCCCCCCCGGGGGGGGGGCGGCGGGGGCGCCGATGCTTATTGTTCCCTCGGAGGATTTTCGTTCCCCTCGAGTTTTTTTTTTACCCCTCGAGGCTTGTGGGGGGGTGCAGCGGGGGGCAGGGCGGGGGGGGCGGGGGGGGGTGCCCAGAAAGAGGAGGGGGGGGCCGGAGGGGGGGGAGGGGAGGGGGGCCCACCGAAAAGGGGCCCCGCCGAAGGGGGGCCTCGCCGAAGGGGGGGGCTCCGGCGTGGGCCCGGGGATCTCGCCCCGGTGGGACTGCTGGGCAGGCGCTGGAGCTTGACGTCTCGCGGTCGATTGCGATAATGATGTTGATGATGCTGCTGATGATGATGGTGGTGGTGGTGATGAGGATGATTCGATGGCGACGACGACGACGATTTGGCGACGACGACAAGGACGGCGAAGACGACATTGTCGGCGGCGGCCAAAGCATGCCAATGCACGCCAATGCATGCCAACGCATGCCAACGCGTGCCAATGCGTGCCAATGCGTGCCAAAGCATGCCAAGGCGTACCAATGCATGCCAATGCATGCCAATGCATGCAAATGCTTGCCTATGCACGCCCCAGGCGTCCCCGCCCGTCACCCTCGTTGTCGTCCTCCTCCTTATGGAGCATAGCATATGCTATTGAGCATAGCACATGCTGCTGGAAACGCCGCGCTGCGCCCAGCGCACGACGCAACGGCCATCCATGCGATCTCGCGATAACTGTCGCTCTAACGTACCACGTCGGATGCATGAGCGCCCTACTGTAGTATGTCCAAGACTTGCAAGGAGTGTGCTCCTCATGCTATGCGGCGTGGTACGGAATGAGATCATGCTGGCGCCTGCGCCGCGTGTCAGAAACGCCGTGAAACATGATCCACTGTAGAAGCTGCAGGAAACAATTGAGCTTGACATGCAGAGGCTGACGTTGTCCTTGCTTCCTCACAGCCTTCATCAAGCTTAGAATATGGCTGATATTCGCAGTCAGTTACCACACAACCAAAGGAAATCGGCAACTTCGCTAACTTTCTGTGAATAGCCACTCAACGCACAATGCGAGATACAGTCGCAGATCTCTGATGAAAAACGATACATCTCGAAATCCGTGGGGCAACCAATTGTACATGTCCAAGTACACCCTCGGAATATGGCGCCCGTGGTGACATGAAATTGATATGCAACATGTTTTGCGAACATGGGCAATACTCAGCAAAGATGCGAATCGATCGACTACAGTCCTAGAACGCAAATCCCTCGAAAAAGGTCGTGTGTGCTTACAGCTTGCGCGCGTCGGCCCCTTGTCGCCAATCGAGCCTGCGCCAGACAGGGCCGCGCGTTTCAGAGCCTAGCTCTGTCGATCCAGGTGCCCGCGGGAGTGCCCTTGCAAGTTCTGTGGAGCACATCAAGAACGAGTTGAGCCCAAGAATACCCCAGACCCTCGAAACCAGGAAGGGCGGCAGCAAAAGATAACCACCAACAACGGGCTGAAAGCTAAATGATCGCGATACGGAGCCGGGTTTTCCAGCGGACGTCTTGCGGAGCGCCTCGGGGACGATCGATAGGGCTTAGATTGCAGCCCCCTTGCCACTGTCAAACACACACCGCCGTCATTGCTCGAGCCAACGTGCAAGAGTATACAAGTGCACTGATACTATCACGGCGCGAACGGGCGAGCGCACAAGTATCAGCCCTGCGTTCTGAACAAGGTTGCTCGTTCGGACAATGACAGAGCAGATGACAGCCCCTAATCCTTACGCAACACCTAGACAGAAGAGGTACGCACTCAAATCTGGCACTGTATGAATGTGCATATTCGCAATGCCAGGAAGGTTGGGACGCTATGCTACAGCAACCGCTGCGGATAGCTGTGTGTGCGTCTGTGTGTGTGTTTGTGTGTGCGTGTGTGTATGCGTGTCTGTTTGAGTGCGTGTGTGTATGCGTGTGTGTTGGGGGGGGTTATGCGTGTGTGTGTGTGTGTGCGTGTGTGTGTGTGCGTGCGTGCGTGCGTGTGTGTGTGCGGGTCTGTGTGTTGTGTGTGTTGTGTGCGTTGTGTGTTGTATGTTGTATGTTTTGTGTGTGTGCGTGTGGGTGTGTGCGTGTGTGTGTGCGTGTGTGTGTGTGCTGTGTGTGCGTGTATGCATGTGGTGCGTGTGTGTGTGCGTGTGTGTGTGATTGTGTTTGTGTTTGTGTTTGTGCTTGTGTGTGTGTGTTGGTGAGTGTGTGTTTTTTTGTGTGGCTTTGTGATTGTAGTTATGTTTGTGTGTGTTTGTGTGTGCGTGTGTGTGTGTGTGCGTGTGTGAGTATCTGTGTGTGTTTTTGTGTGTGTGTTTCGACGCCCTGTCACTGTGCACGGGGCCGCGATGCCAAAAAGTGCGTGTGCGTGTGTGTTTGTGTGTGCTTGTGTGTGTGTGCGTGTCTGACTTCCTGCGGAGGACCGGTTCAAGGTGGCCCTCGGACTCGCCCCTCCCCCGCTGGCAAATTGTCTCCCCATCTGGCCACCGGCCTCGACCCGGGCAGGGATTGACGCAATGGCTCAAGGCCGAGCTGTCATGAATGGCTACGTCATGCACATGGCCGAGGAGGACATCATGGGCGAGGGGACTTATAGCATCTGCCGCAGAGGCGCCAGCAGGAAGAGAAGCGAGGAAGGCGGAGGCGGGGGGGGAAGAGGAACCTTGACATCCGCCGCTATGATTTGTTCCGTGCGCGGCCCCAGAGGTTCCACCCCTTGTCCTTGTTCGATTGCCCCGGGGCCCGATAACAGGCCCCACAGGCCGAGATCGATGAAAAGCGTTTGGAATGAAGCAACAGAAAAAGAAACATCGTCGGAGAGTTGGTGAAGAAAATGGGGGGGTGAAGCGAGAGGAGATTGCGCGCCAGCGTCCTTCATCAGCGGGCTCTGGGGCAAGCGAGGGTGCGACGAAGGTTCTACTTCTGAGCCGTTGGTCGTGCACGGCACTTTGTTGGAACTTTCTGTTACTGCATTCGGAGCAGAGGCCATAGCGTTAGATAAGGCGTCACGGGAGGTAGCGCTTCTATCAGTGCAGGGTAGGAACGGTTGGAGGTCTAGATTTCTGGAGTTGCGGTTTCGTGAGCTGCGGCAGGAGGAACCACTCATTGAAAAATTGCTCTGTATATGCCAGCCTTCATGCAGTCTCGGAGTCATGGGGATGTTCTTGCAATAGTTTCCGTCTCCCGTTCCGGAGCCTGTCCTGGGTTTCAGGCTGAGCCCGTCAGGGACGACAACAGCTTGCCCCCAAGATTAAACCCCTGGGGATATGATAACGTTCGGGGTCCAGCGCTGGAGACAAGCCACACTCAGAAAGGAGCCGCGCGAGAGGCGTGGGAGCCGAGCGGCGTCCTCGCGCGCGGGGGGGGAGCGCGTGCGCGGGGTGGCCACGGCCGCGTGTCTGGCGGCGCCGCTCTCCGGCGGACCGCCGGCCGTGGCAGCGCAGAGGCCGCCCAGCCGCGGCGCCTGCCGGGAGGGCCGTCGTGGGCGACCGCTCCACGAGCAACGGCCACGATACACGCATTTGACCAAGTGGCGGGACGGCCGAAATGGGCACGGAAAGAATGGGCACGATGCCCAACAACAGTTCCTGTTCATTTTGGACACGACTCGCTGTCCGCGCCGCCGCGGCCTGTGCCCGCTTAAGACAGGAGGCCGTGTGCCCAGCAGCGGCCTCTGATGGTTTGGGACAACATTTGTTGTTCGGCATTGTGCCCATTTTTCCGTACCCATTTCGGGCGTCCATAAAGTGGCGGGACTGGTCCGCGCCGAGGGGCTCCGCAGGACAGCAGACTCATTGAGCGAACAGATCGCAGCACAAGGACAGACCTGGCGCTGGGGCTCGCCAGCGAAGCGACCGAGAGGCACGGCGCCGGAAGAAGCTCCTCCTCGGCCGCCTGCCCACAAGCGAGGTCTGCGGCCGCGCGGGGCGACCGCTCTCGGGTATTTCGTCACGGGGGGGCGGTAGGGTCGGGAACTTTGGCGTAGCGTGTCGCGCCGCCGGTTCTGGCCCACCACGTCTCGGCGCGACACGCTATCCACGACCACAGCCCCCGGCGTCAACGTCCAGAGCTATTCCCAGCCTCCCGCGGAGCGGAGCGACACGCCATCCGCTCGCAAGGGAATAGCGTGTCGCTGTGGCCGCCGCCGCGACACGCTGAGCAGCAGTTCCTGACCGTAGATGGGGGGATCGAGGGTTGCAGGGGAGGGGCCCCCCTCTGGGGCCCCGAAGATGCACGAAAAGCGCACCGCCTTTGACCCCCACGTTTGTTGATCCCCCATGAAGCAATGGGACCTGGCAGTGAAATCGTGGCGCCCGAACGAAACCGCGCGGCGCCGCAATTCGACGTCGCGGCGCCGTGTGCTGCTCTGCACTCGCGGGCCCAGTCCGGCAGTCCGGCGCAAGGCTCGCTCGCGCACGCTGAGCAGCGCTCGAGCCGCTCCCTCCGGTGCCCAGGCACCGGGCGGGCCCGCAGGCCGGGCAGACCCCGGCGGCCAGGCAGACCCCGGAGGCCCTGGGCTCCCCAGTCCGCGGAAGGCGCGGCGCTCGCAGGGCGGCAGGGCGCGAAGCGCAGGCAGTCGCAAGGGCCCCCTGCCCGAGCGGCCCAGCGATGGGAGGGCGAGCGGCCCACCGCCCAGGGCACGCGCACAGGAAGGAAAGACAGTGGGGGAGGGAGGCGAGGCGGAGGAGGATGAGGAGGAGGTGGAGAAGGAGGAGGAGGTGGAGAAGAAGGAGGAGACGGACAGAAAAACAAAAATGAGGAGGAGGAGGAGGAGGAGGAGGAGAGAGTATGAAGGAGGAGACGGAGGCGGAGGGGGAAGAGGGAAGAGGCAGGAGGGGAGCAGGGATGAGGAGGGGAAGGAGGAGGAGGAGGAGGAGGAGGAGGAGGGAATGCCGCAAAGGCACCATGTTGAAGACCAACGAGCTCGTGGCGATAAAGGTTTACAAGACGAAGGAGAAGTCAAAGCCCGGCCAGGAAGAGGTCCTTCTCACCAGATTCAGGCGCCAGATCGGGGTGCTCCAGGAGCCCGTTGTCTCCGCATCCTCTGTCACCTCGTTTTCCTCCCCCTCCTCATCCTCTTCTTCCTTCTCATTATCCTCATTATCATTTTCCTTCCCCTCCTCCTCATTCGAATCGGCTGCACTGCGCGCTGCAACTTGGGCTCAAGCACCAGAGCGCATGCATCTGATACAGTAGAACAAGTCCGTTGCACCGCAGCCACGCTTTCTTACCAGCCGCCAACAGCCGCAATTCTAGTGGGCAGCGGAGCTGGGAGCGATCCTGGCTCGCGATCTGCGGAAGACGCGCACACTTCGATGCGGACGCGCATTCGCATGTCTTTCACTTCCCGCATTGATACCTCTTTCGGTTCCCTGAACAGCCCGTGCGTGTGCGTATGACCGTTCTGCAATCCTCACTGTAATTCGCCCAAGTCACCCACAGGCGCGACGAGGCCAACGCCAATGACCGCAAATTTTCATTGTGAGTACACCGTCTCTTTGCAAACAGATTGCCTGGCGCAGAGTAAGTGGGCCCAAGGAGGCAGCAATGCTTCGACCTTCTCACCATCACAACTTCCCGAATGGTTTCAAGCTGGTTAACGTACGTACCTGTTTTACCACCCTTGCACATCATCAAGGGCTCCAGTGCTATCAAGATTGTTCCAGGTGTCCGGATGGTGCTCGCCCCCGTGCAGGTCCGAGCCCCAAGGCGCCCGTGCGGCAATCGCGACGGCTTGTTCGGAGGATCTTTCTTCAATTTGACACGACTGGGCAGCAGCATCATTATCCCTGTCCGCGGTCGCCTTGCACTGGCTTGTCTGCATGATGCTTGGAGGAGCAGGACAAGGTGGAGGCGGTGGCAGGGGCGGCATCACATTCGGCCAGCCACGCACCTGGTCACTTGGACGGGAATCGGCCAACCAATTCCGCTATTGGGTGCCGAACCTACTCGCCCGTAGCGCACCCGCCCCCGACATGGACAGCGCGCCCAGCAGCGTTTTGCCACCCTTACTCTCGGCAGCGCCGCTCGCGAGCTCACACGTTCCATGAACTTCACGGAGGTGGCAGAAGGAGGATGGGTCAACAGACAACCAGAATACGCCGTCACTTAAATGATGGCGAACCTCGCGACCCAGTTTGGACCCTTTGGTGAAGAGTCACGGCGACAGGCTACCCGCGAGCTCTTCGAGTTCACGAGGGACGCAACGAGACCACCGATGCACTGCTTTTGCGGTTCCTCATACTGCAAGTGCGAGCAATGCGCGACGGCGGAGCTGCGATTTCATGGAAAGCTACAGCTGGCCGCCCCTCCGAGCGGTCGGCGCTACCGCCAGCCGACCCACGACGCTGCTGCAGCCGTAATTACGGCAACCAAAATCCAGCAAAAGAGCCGGAGCTCAGACGCCCCAAAACTAGTCCCAGGCACGCAGGCCACATCATGGAGCACCGAGATCAACAACATCGCCAGCGCCCCCCGCGCATCGCCATCCTTTCAAGACTTCGCACGCATGACCAACGACAACGGTGGCGACGCAAGCGCAGCAGACCTCTGGCCATCACAAGGGCACGACTCTTGAGCTGCCAGCGCTGCCGAGCGCCCGGGCGACGGAAGCGCCCTCGCGCATGCCGGCAGCTCTCCGCGCAGCGTGCCACCGCGAGCCGCGCGCCCCGCCGCCGCGCGGCCGCGCGCTGGCGAGGCGCAGGCCCACGGGGCGCGCCGGTTCCGACGCCAGTTCAGACCTCGGATGAGCAATCGATTACTCGCCAGACCAGATCAGAGGCCCATCCCCGACGCAGATCGGCGCCAAACGATTCGGCCAGATGAAACATCGCAGGCGCCAGTAGCGACGCCACGTGGATGAGCCAGCCAGGAAAGACCGAAGGATGGGCAAAGGCCAGGGCGCACAGAAACACGGTTTCTTCGCCGAGCTGACCGAGGCCCAGGTCACCGACGTCTTCTCCGGGGGCAGAGGCCAAAGCAAAGGCGAAGGCGGCCGTTCCAGCGGAATGGGCAAGGGCCGCAGGAATAACCCCCATGGTCCGAGGAGACGGCGACGACGCGCGGCATTTGCGGATCGGAGTTCCACATCAGCGCTGAAGGCCAGCCCTGGAAGCCCACGTGCCAAATGGGGCGGCCCGAGCTTCGGAGGCGTTGCCGACTCGGGGCCCCTCGGCGGCGCCCTGGATGCCCAGCCCCTCTCTCTGGCATCTCAGGCATTGCCATCGTGGCCGCCGACGAAGCCTCCCCCGCAACCGCAGTCAGACCCCGGCCTCGGCGCTGCTCGCGGCCGAGGGTCCCTGGGAGATGCCCAGGACCATCCGAGGCCCCTGTTCCGTTGCACATCTGGCCGTAGTCCAGAACCACGCGCGCACCGACGCGCCCGCCGCATTGCCCGCTCCTCAGATATCGCTACGCCTACCTCAGGGCCACAGCCACCAGCGCTGCCGCCGCCGTGTGGCGCTGTCTCCGCGGCCTCGAAACCGGCGGCGGCAACGTCGGGCCCGTCGCGCCCAGAGGCCCGCGCAGCTCCTCGGGCGTCGGCCCCATGGGGGCCCCGCGAGCTAACCGTCAACGACCAACGGCGGGGCAACTGGCGGCCCCCGACGACTAGCGAGACACCGCGCCGCAATCAGGTTCGGGCAGGGCCGGCTCGGGCAAGCCGATGGACCTGTCAGGTCGCGAAGCCGCGGCCACGCGCGCCCCGCCGAGGTGCCAGCCGCAGCCATCGCGACCACAGCCACGCGCGATTCAGCCCCCGAGATCACGGCGCGACTCGCTGCCGCAGCAAATTTTGACAGAGCACGACGTCCAGATGGAACAGCGCCGCGCTCGCAGCCGTGAGCGGGCCCAGCCGACGATCAAAAGGGCCGCGGTTGGGCCGCCGACCGCTGCTCCGCCGCGTCTGCCCGAGGATCTGCGAGCCGCGTCGCAAGCCACTAGCATGGAGGTGGACGACGATGCTATGTACGCCATCTTGGATGAGTGCACTCCCGTGGATCTACGCGTTATTCTTCAGCGCGGTCGCAAGTCATCAGAGCTGCGCCGACGCCCGGGCTGCCGCGAACCTCGACAACTCCCCGCCCGGGGCGGCTGAGGCCCACCGGCGAGGCGACGGGATGTTGGTTTCATTCTCACAGCGCCCAACGCGCAGAGCAAGCGGCGGCGCAAGTGGCCACTCGCGCCCGCGTCGCTGCCGCGCCACGCCCGGCAGCGCCTGCGAACGAAGCTCCAACTGCACTTCGGGGAGCTCAGATACAGAGCTTGCGTTCAGCGCGCTGGCATCTACACGGAAACAGCAATCACCGACGGGCTCTCCACCAGGTGGTGGAGCCGATGTGCCAGCGCACCCTGGGCACGCCGACGGCCCCGCCAACGAGTCCGCCACTGAGATATACCACGGCCGTGCGCAGCTGACCACAGGCGAGCTCGGCCCGATGGTTGACCCAGATGCTTGGACCAACCTCACGGGAGAGGCGCTCGCGCGCCAGCTGCGCCGACGCGACGTCGAAGCAGGGCACTGGCCCCTGCGAGTCTTTACATGCAAGCCTTGGAGCACCTGGGGCGTCGGCAGCGGGACGCGCAGGGCGCGCCCGTCAGGCGGGCGCCCCCGGTGGCGGCCGTCGCAGATGACCAGGGCTGCGCTGCGCCCCGCAGCTTCGCGGCGCCCATCGCGCGAGGCACGGGCAGCGAACTGCTCGGGCATCAGGGTCTACGGAGCACGAGGACTACGCGCGCGATCCTGGACATGGGCAGCCACGATTTGAGATCCTCCCGGGGGGGCGGCGATGCGCAGACCCGATGGCCAGCAGACGCAGTCCACCGATCGGACACCTCGCCGTGGTCGCCAACGCCTTCGAGAGAGCTGCACAGCGGCGGAGTCCCAGGCCGCTCGGTGCCACTGCGCGCTCGCGCCGACGAGACAGAGACGCAGACCGAGAACAAAGCGCCGCCAGCAGTTGCCGCCCCGCTGCGGAGGCCGAGCAGCGGCCCGCCCTCTGCTCTCAATGGGCCAGCTGCCCCCAGCGGGCCCCCCAGCGATCTTTGCGGGGGGCCCATCGCGCACGAAGCCTGCTTGCGCGATCGAGCCCGCGCCTTGCGTGGCACGAGCTCTTGAGCAGCGCGGTTGGACTCTGCGCGATGCATCCTGGCGCTTTTATCTCCACGCACCCCTCGGCATTCCTCATCGAAGTCGCTCGGTGCAAATGTGGCTTTGCGTGGGTCATGATGCCGCCTCGACATCGCTGCGCTGCCAACAGAGACACTTGCGCCCTCGACCACATTCACGAGATTATACGGATTTGCGCGCGCACCTGCATGCCGCGCACAGCTTTGGATTTCGCTGGCTAGTTAGCCACTGCGATTGAAACGGTCACTCCCCCAGCAGTCGGCACGAGACTGGCACCCATCCGCCATTGCCGACTGGGGCTCGCACCGAACACACATCTTCCATCACCGCCGATGACGGCGCTGCAGATCTCGACGACAATCCAACGCGGCGACAGCTCGGAGTGCACGCGCCCACTCAGCACCGCACACCAGGCATGCTGGAACCCAATTCCTGGGCACCAGGACCCTGCCAAGCAAAGCAAGGGCCGCGCCATCTGAGCAGCGCGCGCGTAAGCCAAGCGAATCAAGACAGAAGTGCTGCAAAAACTCACCGCGCGAATGGCGAACACTCTGGAGCCAGATGGAGCAGCAGCTGCTGCTGCTCAGTCTGGGTCTACGATGGTCGAGCCCACGGATAGCCCAACTGCTCTGCTCGCGGGCGACCAGCACCCTCTGGCCCGGGCATTTCGTCAGCCCGACAGCCCCGATTCAAATAACAATGGAGATAAGAAAGGAAGTCGCACCGACTAGAACAGTAAGACGCACCAGGACAGCGTTGTCCGAGGGACGAACACAACCACGATCACGACACCAACCACTGATGAGTGTCTGATAGATTCCGACTGTGGAGCCTCGCGTTGTAAAAATCGCCACTCCGACTCGACGTTCATCCCCGCCGCCCCCCCCCCCCCCATCC